TCTCAAGACATAAAATCAATGTGCAAAAATCACAAGCATTCTTATATACCAATAACAGTCAAGCAGATCCAAATCAAGAGCAAACTCCCATTCACAATTGCTACAAAGAGAATAAAATACCTAGGAATACAACTAACAAAGGATGTAAAGGACCTTTTCAAGGAGAACTACAAACCACTGCTCAATGAAATAAGAGAGGACACAAACAGGTGGAGAAACATTCCATGCTCATGGTTAGGAAGAATCAATATCCTGAAAGTGGCCATACTGCCCAAAGTAATTTATAGATTCACTGCTATCCCCATCAAGCTACCATGACCTTCACAGAACTGGAAAAAACCACCTTAAACTTCATATGGAACCAAAAGAGAGCCTGCATAACCAAGACAATTCTAACCAAAAAGAACAAAGCGGAAGGCTTTCCCCTTTCTTAAGAGAAACTGAAACTTAAGAATGTGAGAAAAAAGCTGTCCTGTAATTAGACTTCCAGGCATGGCCGGGCAGTCTCTGTGTGGTTCCTCGTGTACCCTCAAATGGGAGAGAATGCTTAAGAAGCTTCTACTATGCCCTAAGCCGTTTATTAGAATGTTTTATCTAATTGTTACATAACCCGTTTGCTAAAAGTGTCAGCATTTTGTTTTGTCCAAAGTGACAGTTAATATGTAAAATATACAGCATCTCCCCATGAAATGTGTACCCAGAAAACAAAGGAATTGCCAAAGATGTGTCAAGGTCAAGGACGGGCAATTGGATCCCTTCATTCATCTTCTTCGTGTAACCCACGTTTGACCGGAGTGTGTTTGGTTAGTGACTCTGAGATCAGAGAGCTACCATCTCATCATGACTCAGCTTTACCCAAGCAGGTGTGGTCAAACTGTGCCCTGCCACCCTGAGTCCACTTTCTCTGTATCAGAGTCAAGTCAATAGCTGGGCACCTGCAGTGTGTGGTTCCTTTTATGCCCCAACCACTATTTCTTTCTTTCCATTTTTTCCAAAGAGTATTTGAAACTTCATTTTACAGATAAAGAACTATTCAGGTTTTCCATTTCTTCAGTGAGCTTAGTGTTTTAAAAAATATTAATAAATGTGTACGTTTTATGTAAGCTGCTAATTCCATTGATATGAGGTTGTTGGTAATATGCTCTTATTATCTTTTTTTTTTTTTGTCAGACAGAGTCTTACTCTGTCCTCAGGCTGAGTGCAGTGGTGCGATTTTGGCTTGCTCTGTCTCCAGGTTCAAGTGATTCTCCTGCCTCAGCCTCCAGAGTGACTGGAGTTACAGGTGCCCACCACCATGCCTGGCTCATTTTTGCGTTTTTAGTAGGGACGGGGTTTCACCATGTTGTCCAGGCTGGTCTTCAACCCTTGACCTCAGGTGATCCACCCGCCTCAGCCTCCCAAAGTGCTGGAATTAGCGATGTGAGCCATGGTGCCCGACCTCTTATTATCTTTTTATTAACCATAATAATGCTTTTCATTCCTGACACTGGAAATCTGTGCATTTCATTTTTTTTTTTTTTTTTTTCCTGATCTCTCTGACTAGAGGTTTAGCACTTGTTTTTTTTTTCCATTTAAGGAACTGGCTTTTAGCTTCATTGATTTTTTTTTTAGCTTTATTGCTTTCTTCTGATTACGTTGGTTTCTGTCCTGATCTTTATTTTCTTTCATCTGCTCATTTGGGGTTTCATTTGCTCTCATTCTAGTTTCTTGCCATGGAAGCTGAGGTCATTGATTTGACACAGGGTCCTCTTTCCTAGTGTAGGATTACGTGGTATAAATTTTCCTCTGAGTACTGCTTTAGTGCCATTTCACAAACATTGACATGTGTTTTCAGTTTCATTCAGTTCAAAATTCTTTTGAATTTAATTTACGTCTTAAATATATATTTTTAATTTTTTGTTGTCTTTTCTTAACTTTTGTTATCTTTTTGACCAGTGGTGTTTGAAAGTGGTTTTTTTTTTTTTTGGTTTCCAACTATTTGGGGATTTTCTGGCTATTTTGCTATTGCTTTCTAACTTAATTCCAGTATGGGCGGAGAACATACTTTGTGTGACTCAACTCCTCAGTTTTAAAAGCTGGGAGAGAGATATTAAAGCATGTTTTATGCAATGGTAATCTCAGACAGGTGAACTCTGGTGAAGGAAAGAAAGGGAATAATTACAAGAACAACCTGTTAGGGAGGATGATAGTGGATGAACCAGGACTCAGGTGGGGTGCTGCCAGGGAAGCAGTGTGCCTCTTCTTGTAACGGAGGGGGAGGCAGGTGTGTTGTCTGGTTGCAGGTGTGTTGAGTGACTCTCCTCAGAGGCATCTATTTTTTTTTAGGCAACAGATTGGAGGACATCATCTAGCACGATTAGTCTGGGAGATGCAGAATAATCATCTTACAGAGTAGGGGAGTGAATTTATTAGGGGAAAAGACAGCATTGGCTGTCAGGAGAATTGCTTGTCCATTTGGGATTGCGGTGGGAACATAAAAACGAGCACAGTCAGCTTCCTGTTTCCTTTCTCCCCAGCGTCATCATCTCTTAGGAGCTGCTGGAGCAGGCTTCCATGGTTATTAAGCATGGGGACGGCTGTTTTGCCAGACTCAGACAAAGGGTGTTTGCAAGGCAAGAGTTGTAGCATCGAGCTGTGGCCCTGTTCATTCTTTGTGACATTTTGCATCTCATTCTAAATTGTAGGTAATAGAGATGCAAGTGCTGTCCTGTCTGGTGGTGACTTAATTGACCTCCTTCTCCCTGTGAAAACACCAACTCTGTCTTCATTTGCAATTCAGCTCAATCAAGGTTATATTGATTCCATATAACCTGTGTCCTTTTAGCTTTACCTTTGAACCAGTTATAACATTTTCCTGGTTCCCTCGTATATTAAAATATATTTTTGAATATTACTTTTACATCTGTATGACAGTCATGATTTTACCTTTTTTTGAAAATTTTTATTTTTTTGAGAGGGAGTCTCACTTGCTCTGTTGCTCAGGGTGGAGTGCAGTGGCGCGATCGCGGCTCACTGCAACTTCCACCTCCCGGGTTCAAGCAATTCTCTGTCTCAGCCTCTTGAGTAGCTGGGATTACAGGCACCTGCCACCACACCAGGCTAATTTTTTTGTGTTTTTTAGTAGAGATGGGGCTTCACCATCTTAGCCAGCTGGTCTTGAACTCCTGACCTCATGATCCACCCACCTTGGCCTCCCAAAGTGTTGTGATTACAGGTGTGAGCCACCGCCCCCTGCCTGAAAATTTTAGCCTCATATGCCTATCACCTCGCATGAGAAAGAAATCCTTGGCAATAGAGGCGAAACCACGTGTGTGCCAAAGAAATCCGTGTCAATACAGACAAAACCTCCCCGACCCCCAGAGGTAAACAGCTACTTGAATTTGGACCAGTGCTTTCTCTAATCTCTTGAAGAAGCTAGGTGTTATTTTTAAGGTTATTAAGGGAAAAATATCTTTGCAATTCAGGTATACATTTCTAAACTAGCACTTGAGAATACCAAAGTCTTGCTTTAGACATGGTTGTTTTCTGGTGTCTGTTTACAAAAACTAGGAAGAAATGAACAGCCCCATTGAAAGGTGGAACTTGTCAGAATAAACCTCGCTTTTAATATAAGGGACCAGACTGGGTGCAGTGGCTCAGATCTGTACTCCCAGTACTTTGAGAGACTGAGCCAGGCAGATCATTTGAGGCCAGGAGTTCGAGACCAGCATGGCCAACATGGCAAAACCCTGTCTCTACTAAAAATACAAAAATTAGCCAGGTGTGGTGGTGGGCGCCTGTAATCCCAGCTACTCGGGAGGCTGAGGCAGGAGAATCACTTGAACCCGGGAGGCAGAGGTTGCTGTGAGCCAAGATTGACACTTTGTCTCAAAAAAAAAATTAAGGGACTCTTCTGAAGCAGTTTGGAGATTAAAAAAAAAAAGATAAAATAAGGGCCCTCTCCGTGTTTTCATGGGCGATCACTTTTTGTTTCTCTAAGCCTCAATTCTCACTGGTGAAGCATGAGAGGTCGGGACAGTGTGATTCTGTGGAAGAAAGAATGGCCTGGGCGTTTACCAGGTATTAGACAGTGAATGTCTTTATCAGTAGGGAGTGTCAGGCCCATTTACAGAAACTAACAGCAGGGGCTGTTCTCAACACTATTTTTTTTGGAGGAAGTCTCACTCTATCACGCAGGCTGGAGTGCAGGGTGCAATTTTGGCTCACTGCAACCTCCACCCCGGGTTCAAGTGATTCTCCTGCCTCAGCCTCCCGAGTACACCTGTACCTGGGATTACAGGTGTCTGCCTTTGCCTGGCTAATCTGTTCTCAGCACTTTATCTCAATACATATAATCCTACGACTGTCATTCCCAATTTGACAGTTGAGAAAACTGAGACAAAGCACTCCCAACCCCAGGTTTTGAAAGCTTTCAACAAACAGAAAAGTTGAAAGAATACAGTAACAGATACCCATACACTCACCAAAGTTCAACAATGTGCACCTTTTGTTACATTTGCCTTATCTGTTCATCAGCCAGTATATACTTTGCTGAAACACACTGATGTTGTAGACCTCCTGACACTTCATCCCTCCATAAATAACACATTCCCATGGAGATGTGACAGGTCCCTCATCAGCTCGGTGTTTCATACAAGCACACACTCACTTTTCACACATTGCAACTGGTTGTTTTCCCCCAACAACTCTGGCCTTTTAAAGAGACCAAGTCAGCTGCCTTTGCCTTTGTGGTCCTGTCCATGTTTTCCTAGAGGCTGGGAAGGGCCAGAGCCAGCTATGCTCACTGGCTTACATGCTGTCAGCTTTTGTTAAACAATGCGGATTTGGAGAGTTCCAATGCACTGTTTGACCTACAACACTGAAAATATTGAGTAACTGGCTCGCTCTTTACTTTCTGGGTTTGCTCACCCCCGAGTTGTACTGTCCCTTCCCTTGACCTTTTAGGTTGATTGTACTTGAGACAAAACTTATTTAGCATCTAGACAATCTGTACACAGGGACACTTATAAAGACCCATTTATTCATCTGTTGATTTTCATTAATTACAATCTCTCTCCCTGCACCAGAGGAAATTACAAGACTTCACAGATTTAGGAAGTCAACTGAGTGCGTAGGCTGCTCAGTTAGTAGTTCATTCATGAGTACTTGACAGATATATATTTTATCTTATATAAGGAATTGTAAATTCCCTTTGGGTCAACTCAGGACAGCGTACAAAATGGGGCCCACAGACGGAGCTGTGAATCCAGCTCACCACTGTTCAACTTTCTTCTCTGAAACAAACTGTCCATGGGGCCCCTCGGCATCCGGGGGCAAAAGGGCTAAGTACACAGGGGTCTCTGCTCCTTCTTCCGGGCTCTTGGTGGCATTGGGTCCCGCCATGTCGGTTCTCACCCACCCTGGGCAGCAGGCATTCAGGAGGATCTTGTCCCCTTTCCTCTGCTCATTCAGTTTCCTGGCTTGGATCCTGGACAGCACAGTGACGCCGATCTTCGATACCCCGTATGCGGTGTTGGGCCAGCCTGCTTTCTGGTGCACTCCCTTCTTTGTATCCTCCACGAACTTGTTCATGAGCCCCACCAGCTCCTCCTCAGTGATGGTCTCACTGCGAAACTTCTGCTGCAGCTCAGGGCTGCAGCTTTTAAGGGCCCTGAGACTCACGGTGCTAGATACATTCACCACTCTCCCTAAAATACACCACAAAGCATTATGTAGAAAGGTGTGCACTCGTCCTGTAGAAAGATGAATGCCAAATTTGCTGGGATTTTGGAGCAGCAAATGTTCATATGAGAGACAGTTAGTGGCATGAGTTCTAAGAGGAATGAGCATTCCTCTTAGAGGAATAAAGAACTTCATTCCTGCCTTCAAACAGGCTGAGTAGAGTCAGGTGAGATTTGGAAGAGCTGCCCTTTGAGGTCCTGGTGAACCAAAGCCTTAGAAGTAGCACAACTTAACAGGATGACAGGACGGGGAACAGGATAAAAGCTGAGAATAAGCTGTACATGCAAGTACCCAACTCAAAGCCACACATTTAAATTTTTCTAAAAGTGGTTGCTTAATTGCTGTGTTATTTAATGGGTGGGTTCATCTCTTGTCCCGTTACTTAGGGTAACTAATCACAGCAGTTTACAACCAAAGAAATGTGATAGTCATGTCCAGCACCTTGAGCACACTGGAGGGGAGTTAAAATGAGCCCGGAGTTAAGCAGGGGCAGATTATGGACATCTCTGTGAACCATGCTAAGGGCTTGGACTTTCCTCCTGAAGGATTTCTGGGAGAGGCATAACCAGCAGACAGTATGCAGGATGCTGGGAAAGGAAAAGACTCAAGATCAGAGGTGCCTTGTGAGGGTTTGCAGTTGTCCAGAGGGACAGCTGAGGGCCTGCTGTAGAGCCGGGATGAGATGGATTCAGGGGGAACTCAGTGGGCACAACTCCTAGGGGCTAAGTGATGATGAGGGGTGGGGCATGGTGACCTGCAGGATCCTGGTGGGTGGACGGTGGGGTCAGATGACTTAGGGAAAAGGATGGGGATTCTCTGGAAAGATCTTAGATTGTGGGGAAAGGCATCAGGAAGAGATGGAAAGGCAGGAAGACAACTGTGTGGTCGGGAGCTTCAGGAGTGTCCCAGGCAGGTGACAGATAGGAATTCGTGGTAGTAAAGGCTCCATCAGACTGACTAAGATCACTGTGAAAGAGCAGAGAAAGGGTACAGGATGGACTCCCATGCTGACAGACACGGAGCAAATAAAGAGCATCTTTCAGAGGAGACATTTGAGCTAAGACCTGAAGAATAACAGAGAGTCAGCCAGGTGTGCAAAGACCAGTGGGACAGGGAGGACCAATGGCTAAGGGAGTGGGAGAAGCGAGGACAAAGTCCTGAGGCAAAATGGCACCTCGCTGCTGGCAGGAAACACAGCCCAAAGGTCTGTGCTTCCGCAGCGTGGAGAAGAAGCAGGGGAGATCCCAGGCAGGCAGGGGCCAGATCAAGCCCCAAGCAGAAGGCACGGCTGTTTCCCATCAGACTCACCGTGGGGTTTTATTAGAGGGAGTAACTCTGTGCAGACATCTCGAGTACCAAAGAAGTTTGTTTTCATCGTCACTTCAGCTTGAATATGAAAGGGTGTAGGATCAGCAACTTTTAGGAGAGAAAGAGAATATAGTTAATAAATTGTACCCAGGGGTAAAAGTCTACAGAATGATACTGAAAAAAAAAAAATGAGTGCCTTGTGCCTAAAGTCTGTGTCTGGTTACAGTGTTCAGCCAATGTCAGTCTCCTGGTGTGATAACGTTCTAGTATTCTGGTAAGATGGTGCCACTGGGGGAAGGAGGATGAAGGGTGCACGCACCGGAACTTGGAGTATTTCTTTTTTTGTTGCAATCTATCGTTTATTTTAAAATTAGTTCAACATTCATCCAGTTGCCCTAAAGCTCAATTCAGAAAAACTGCAGAAAAACGGAAAAAGTTACAGAAAACCCAGAGTCTGAGCCAGGGAAACACAAAGCTCCCGCTGACTGGAAAACGCTCTCTTTCTCCATGGATTCTGCACTCCTTGCATCTCCTAGCTCCTCCTCGTCCTCCCTAGGGTGCCGTTCTGGACCTCGCAGCCGACAGGGGCCTCAGTACAGCGCTTCTTCGACAGGTGCAGCCGACCCTGGCAGAAGGCTGTCGGGGAAGCCAAGTCCCGTCGGAGGACCCCAACCCCTTACCCTTGAAGGCGATGCCCGCGTTGTTGACCAGCACGTCCAGGCCTCCGTACTCCTTGCGCAGGAAGTCGCGCAGGGCGCGGATGCTTTGCAGGTCGTCGATGTCCAGCTGGTGGAAGCGCGGGCTCAGGCCCTCCGCCTGCAGCTGCTGCACGGCCGCCTGGCCCCGCGCCACGTTCCGCGCCGTGAGCACCACATCCCCCGAGAACCGCCGGCACAGGTCGCGGACGATGGCCAAGCCGATGCCTTTATTGCCCCCAGTCACCAGAGCTACCTGGATGCAGGACGACATGGCTGAACCGGGCGCGCGGGACACCTGCGTGAAGAGCAGACCAGGCTCAGACCCTGGAGCCGCGAGGCGCGTCCGAGAGGCTGCGCAGGTGTGGCGGGTGGGGGCGCGCACCCGTAGGTTATACGCCCGGCCGCTGAGCGCGCAAGCGCAGGTTCAGGCTCCGCCCCTGCATGGGCGGGGCGGAACCGCCCCTACCCCTTCCCATGGAAACTTCCACGGAGCAGGCGGAGAGCGACCCGGCCTGAAGTTGCAAAACTCGCTGGCTGAAGACCAAAGTTGTCAGTAGCTGCTGGCTGCCCACATGGCAGTGAAGAACCATTCTTACTGGCCACGCACGGCATGCCTTTGGTTCTCTGAGGGGTTTTCTTCCTATTTCTTCAGATGTTCAACCATTCCCAGTTGTGTTTAAAGAAATAGGACATTTGTAAGTTTTTTTTCTTCTGGTGTTCTGAAAAAAAAAAAAATACTGCAGGAACTGCAGTGTCTGGAGCTGGAGTTGCAGAAGAAGCTGGAAGAAAATGACAGGCCAGGGCATCAAGTTTTTGTTGATTTCCCCCCTAAATATATGAAAGCAAAGCCACTGACATATCCATAGCCAGATTTTCCAATAATGGTGGGAAACATTTACCAAATCTTCACAAGGTTACTTCTCTGGGCTCTTGCAGGGCCATCAGTTTACCTGTACACAGGTGTAAGGAGGTTTCACAGCCCTATTTTACACTGAAAATAACACTCTGGGATGCACCTTTTAATCCCCATCTTAAAATGAAGAAACAGGAATCCATCCTCAGAATTTATAACTTAGTTCAGTGGTGGGAAATTGTTAGACAAAGGCCAGGGGTTTGGTCTAGATCTGGTAGTTCACAACACAGAAAGCCAGTTGCTGAGACCCCATTATTGCCAGGGAAGACGGCATTATTCGGGTGCTACAGCCTAGGGGAGGAGATCAGTCTCAAATCCATCTTCTCAACTGATTAAAATTAGGATATGGCGTGGAAGAAATGTAACTGCGTGTGGGAAAACAGGACTTAGAGATAATGAGGAGGAGTGGGTCAACAGGCATCAGTTAGGCAGTTGTGGCAAGTGAGGGGTCGTGTCGGGTTGTGCAGTTGTGATCTGATAAGTTTCACTTACTTGATGCTATCTGGGAGGCCTGATGGCTAGTTTCCTAAGGAACTCAGATAAGACAAATGTAAATTCCTCAGGTTTTTAGACAGAGAGGGTCAATTTGTTTATCCAAAAGAGACCATAAACATCTGTTTTTGGGACAATTGTGTGGTTTCCAAATGAGTGTTCTTCCTTCCTGCTTACAAGGGAATAGGGAATAAGGTCAAGTTTCATTTCTGTGCTGTACCCATAAGTTGCTACTATCACAGATGGCCATTTAAACATAAATTCAAATTAAGCAAAATTAATGCAATTTGTAATTCAGCCTTTTAGTTGCACTAACCACGTCTCAGGTGCTCTATAAATGTGCACATGTGTTAGTGGTCACTGTATTGGGCGGTACAGACTTAGGATATTTTCATCTGTGCAGACGGATCTGTTGAGCAGCACTGCTTTAAATAGATTGCAGTTACATTGCAATATCAAGGTAGGTTTCCAATCAGTCATTTTCAAACAGGTTAATAATCAAGGAAAGACCCTTGCTTTTTTCAACTGAAATTTTTGTTGAGGTAATTTAGATTCACATGCAGCTGTAAGAAATAATACAGAGATTCCTTACCCTTTCCTGTTTCACTTGATAGTAACATATTGCAAAAGTGTAGTACAACATCACAATGAAGATATTGACAACAAAACAATCCACCAGTCATACTCAGATTTCCCCAGCTTGATGTGTACTTTTGAAGATGGAAATTAAATAATAGAATAATAGTAAAAACAAAACCATAATGTGTAGTTGCTATATAATAAATTTTGCTGTGTTGCGTGCTGTTTAATATAAAACCTAACACCCAGCTCTGCTTAAAACTAACCAACTCCCTGTAAAACCTACCTTACCTATTCTCACATTCTCAGCAAAGTTCCCAGGCATCTCAAGACTCCTGCTTTTCTTGCTGACCAGCTGCAAGGTCACCGGGCAAGATAACACCCAAAAAATGTACAGTGCGTTTCTCAAAATGCTATTTTTCAAATGTAATGTACATCACAATACATGTTGCAAATTATTATTTTATTTATTTATTTTATTTTATTTATTTATTTTTGAGATGGAGTTTCACTCTTGTTACCCAGGCTGGACTGCAATGGCACGATCTCGGCTCACCGCAACCTCCGCCTCCTGGGTTCAGGCAATTCTCCTGCCTCAGCCTCCTGAGTAGCTGGGATTACAGGCATGCACCACCATGCCCAGCTAATTTTTTTTTTTAGTAGAGATGGGGTTTCATCATGCAAATTAATTAACTGTTCTTTGTTCTGACTTCCGTAAACTTGTTAGCTGCTACGTCATCCTGAATGTATAAAAGCACCCCATTTTCTTTCTCCGGGGCTCAGACCCTGGATGAGATGGGATGGTATGCTAATCCTCTGAGCCAGTGGCCACATTAATAACGTTCTCCTGTTTCACTCATTGGTTTCTCCGGTCTCCTGGATATTCTGTAACAGTTTGTGTGTGTGTTTAGTCCTATATACTTTTATCAAATGTTGGTTTATGTATCCAACACTACAGTTAAAAGAGAATGTTTCCATTGGCACAAAGAGCCCTCCTGTTGCTCTTTTATGACCAAACATACCTCTCTATTACTCCCCAAACCAACTCTATTTCATGGCAACCACTAATCTGTTCACCATTTCTACAAGTTTGTTGTTGTTTCAAAAATGTTAGATAGTGTTTTGTTTAAAAAAAACAATACAGTAAGTAGTGTTTTGGTTTTTTTTCCACTCACAATAATTCAGAGCTCTGTTTCAGATTTTCTTTCCTAGTCCAGTGTGTGTGTGTTTGGTCTGTCATTGGCTGGCTTCTCTCCACTTCATTAGCCCCTGTCTTCTGTAGCGGGGGTTAGTCAGTGTTACAGTGGGATGGATTAAATTTATTTATTAAGAGGGCCAGTCAGCAGTAGCACATGGTATACGGGGAACTTTGGACAGGGTGAGGGTCCTGCTGTTTCAAAAGGCAAGTCCTATGAGGGCCATGAATCATGAGTTTGAGTCTGATTTATTTATTTATTTTTTAGGACTGGTATCAACATAAGAATTGACAGGTATATTGGGCAAGATGCTCTGGAAAAATATAAAATATGTATTAATAAGAATGTACTACAGGATAAAGGTGGCCTTAATAATTAGTGAGGGAAATAATTATTCCAAAATTGACACTGGGGAAAGGGCATAATGATTGGAAACAAAAAAGATCCCAGTAGGGCATGGTGGCTCACGCCTGTAATCTCAGCATTTTGGGAGGCTGAGGCGGGTGGATCAACTGAGGTCAGGGGTTTGAAACCAACCTGGCCAACATAGTGAAACCCTGTCTCTACTAAAATTACAAAAAATTAGCTGGGTGTGATGGTGGGTGCCTGTAATCCCAGCTACTAGGTAGGGTGAGGCAGAAGAATTGCTTGAACCTGGGGGGTGGAGGTTGCAGTGAGCTGAGATAGCACTATCGGACTCCAGCCCAGGCAACAAACGAAACTCCCTCTCAAAAAAAAAAAAAAAGAAAAATGATCCCTTAAAACATATACTAAATAATTTCTGAAGAGAAACAGTGATTTATAAATGAATCTGTAAGACAACTAAAAGAAAATAAAAGTAACATTTATATTTTTAATAGGGGAAATGCTTTATTTTATAAGCATAAAGACGGGAAGAATCATAAATGTCTGATGGGTTTGACTATGGAAAACCTTGAAAATTTGTTTTTGAAAAGCATAAAGCCAGTGAATTAAGCTCTACTTGGATGATTTTATATTGTTTTCTCTGTTACATCTGGGTCTTGATTCTGGTGGTATGTGTGAGGAGGCTCCCATATGTAGCACCTTGTCTGGACTCTGAACAATTTAAGAAATAAAACAGAAATTTAAAGATGGAGTTTCCAGATCTCTGCTATTACTGCTATTGGCTAAATTGGAAGACACACCTTAGCTGTGAGAATCAAAAGTCTGAGACTATATTCACTCTATATAGGTAAAGAACTTTATCACATCAATTAATCTGCGGAATACATTTGTCATACTACCCACTGTTTTTTTTTTTTTGTTTGTTTGTTTGTTTTTTGAGAAGAAGTCTCGCTCTGTTGCCCAGGCTGGAGTACAGTGGCATGATCTTGGCTCACCACAACCTCCATGTCCTGGGTACAAGCAAGTCTCCTGCCTCAGCCTCCTAAGTAGCTAGGATTACAGGTGTGTGCTACCACGCCCAGCTCATTTTTGTATTTTTAGTTAAGAGAGGGTTTCACCATGTTGGTCAGGCTGGTCCTGAACTCCTGACCTTGTGATCCACCTGCCTCAGCCTCCCAAAGAGATGGGATTACAGGCTTGAGCCACCACACCTGGCCCCACTATTTTCTTTAATTAAATGCTTCATGAATATGCATGTCATCCTCAGGCAGGCACCATGCTAAATCTTGTCTGTATTGTTCCAATTTTAGCATATGTGCTCAAACCAGCACTACTGCCCACTAGTTTAAAGCAATCAAACAACACAGTTCCCAGAGCCATAAAAAAGAATGGAATCATCTCCTTTGCAGCAACATGGATGCAGCTGGAGGCTACTGTGCTAGGTGAATTAACGAAGAAACAGAAAACCAAAGAACACCTGTTCTCACTTGTAAAGATTTGAGTACACAGTGACACAAAGATGGGAACAATAAACACTGGGGATTCCAAAAGGGAGAGGGGTGGGCAAGGGTTGAAAAATGACCTATTGGGTACTGTGTTTTCTGCTTGGGGTCATTAGGCACCCAAACCTCAGCATCAGGTAATACACTGATGGAACAAACCTGCACATGTACCACCTACATCTAAAACAAAAACAACCCAAAACACAGTTCCACGGTGTGTGTTAAAAGAAAAGATGATGTTAAATTATGAACAATGAGGCTCTCTGGGTCGTCTGTCAGGCTTATTTGCCCTCACGGAATTCTACGTGACACTGGCTGTGTTCCTCTTTCATTTTATGCTTGTTTATGATGTTCAATAAGCCTTCCTAGAGGGGTAGACCATGGACTCTGAGACCTGGAATCAATCTGGGGCTTAGGTGCGTAGTAGTTATGTCACTCAAGCAATTTACTGAATCCTGTGAAGGATAAAGCCAGACACTAAGGTGTTAAGGACAGATTTTAATCAGTAATGAACTACTGTAATGAGAAAGACGGTCCAGTGTGAATGACCTTTCATTTGTACAGAGGTGACCGTGCCTTTTAAAGGGAGAATGAAGGATCAGGAGGTGGCAGCAGGGTTGCTCACTGGAAATGTTGGTTAGGCCAGCTGTGTCTGATAGCTGGCAATTAGCAAAGGTAGGATTCTATTCTCCCACTCTGAAGACTGAAAGACAGAGGTCTCAGCATTTCTGATGATTACGTTTCAAAGGAATGGCTTTCAGGGTCTTGAGAAAGACACTCTTCCTTTTTTTTTTTGGATATGGAGTTTCTCTCTTATCTCCCAGGCTGGAGTGCAGTGGTGCAATCTCAGCTCACTGCAACCTCTTAACTCCTAGGTTCAAGCAATTCTCCTGCTTCAGCCTCTTGAGTAGCTGGAACTACAAGTGCATACCACCAAGCTGGGCTTTTTGTATTTTTAGTAGAGACAGGGTTTCACCATGCTGGCCAGGCTGGTCTTGAACTCCAGACCTTAGGTGATCCGCCTGCCTCGGCCTTCCAAAGTGTTGGGATTACAGGCATGAGCCACTGCGCCTGGCAGAGAAACACTCCTGAGTCACAGGAGATACATCTCAAAGGGACAGAGGAAGAATTCACAACTGTAAGCCCTTTTCAGTAAATGCTTTAAGAAAGGGCAGTCAGGGGCCTGGTGTCAGAAGTTGGTTAGTACAAACACCAAATTTTTGGCAGCCTAAGCATTCTCTGGAAGGGGCTAGAGTCATCCTAGCGGTGCTAGGGTCATCGTAGCCATGCAGCTTTGAGCTATGTTAAGTTAACCCCCCTCCACCCATGTATCAATTTAGAAAAGGAGATCGAGACTGTTTCTTCTAAAGGGTTACAACCTGCAAGATAGCCGTTCTGGAGGCTGGGGAGCTGCCTCCAGCAGAAACTCAGAGACTAGCACTTTGAAGGAGGAGGCTTTGAGGTAGGAGCTTCAAGGAGGAGGCTCTGAGGTAGGAACAGGTTGGCTAAACTTATACATTCAACAGGTTACAGGAGGAGCTATGAATATTCATGAAGTTCGTCCTGCTACAAACGTATTGAAAAACATGCATGTAACATACAGCTCATGTATATTCACTTTGGGATGGTGACTTAACATTTAAATGTATTACGATTAGGCCCTATATGTCTAAGGGTCTTTCAGGACATAAAGACACACAAGTGCACAGGCTCTGTAAACCAGAACCAGTTCATTTCATAGTCAGTGATCTTATCAGGAGGAAGTTACTGAAATCAGTCTCTTGTCTAATCAAAGTTGTAGTTATGGCTTGTGTAAGAGTTAAAGAGGATTGGGTGCAGTGGCTCATGCCTGTAATCCCAGCACTTTGGGAGGCCGAGGCAGGCAGATCACGAGGTCAGGAGTTTGAGGCCAGCCTGACTAACATGGTGAAACCCCATCTCTACTAAAAATACCTAAATTAGCCGGGTATAGTGGTATGCGCCTGTAATCCCAGCTAGTTAGGAGGCTGAGGCAGGAGAATCACTTGAACCCAAAGGCGGAGGTTGCAGTGAGCTGAGATCCTACCACTGCACTCCAGTCTGGGACTCAAAAAAAAAAAAAAAAAAAAGTTAAAGAAAGAGGAAAGAAACACAAAATGTGCTGGCAGTTGAAGACAGGTTTACTTTAGATGAAACCTGAGGGAGCTCCTGGCCCACTTTGGTCAGGAGTGCTTTCTCTTACAGACTAAGATTATATATTGGTTGTAGGGTGAGGGGGCTTATGGCAAGCTTGGAATGTTTATGTGTGTGGAGACATTTATGGTGGGTTGGAATCTCTCTGGGAGGCGGGGAGGCAGGCATCTTGGGGAAGACATCTTTCTAGCCCAGAGAGGAGTTATCTCAGGGCTAGAATCTTCCCAGCTGGAGGGGGGTTTATCTTGGGGTTAGCAGGTCTCTGATCGGGGAGGAGTTTGGGATGTTTCTGGTTGGAGATGTTATTTGTGGTTTTTGGTCATGCTGGCCTTAGCCCTTAGGCTGATGCCCTTTGGATTTAGGTGTTTTTTTTATTAAGGTGAACTTTAGAATGAGGGGCTTTTCTAAGATGGCAATGCTCCTGCTCTGTCATTGTGGAAGAGCAGGTTGGTTAGATGGCGTCTGGTGGTGCATGGGTGGTAACTGCTTTACTATTGCTTATGTGGAGGTCAGTGCTTGTTTGGCTGCTACAGAAAAAGAAAACCCTTGTAGCCATTAGACCAGAACTTTTTCTTGGAGTGACTTAACTCTTGCCTGGCATGGCCTTAAGTCTTCTTTATAATTTTTGTATCTTATTGCCACAAAGAATCTTCTCTGTCAGTCTCCTGGTCTCTGTTTTAACATCAATGCTGGCCAGTTGTGTTTAAACTGTAAGAGAGGGTATAGGCCAGGTGCAGTGGTTCACGACCGTACTATGGGAGGCCAAGATGGACAGATCACAAGGTTAGGAGATTGAGACTATCCTGGCCAACAAGGTGAAACCCCATCTTTAATAAAAATACAAAAAATTAGCTGGGTGTGGTGGCACGTGCCTGTAGTTCCAGCTACTCAGGAGGCTGAGACAGGAGAATAGCTTGAACCTGGGAGGTGGAGGATGTAGTAAGCCGAGATTCCACCACTGCACTCCAGCCTGCGCAACAGAGCAAGACTCAGTTAAAAAAAAAAAAAAAAAAAAAGAGTTTAGTGGTATAATGAGGCATGTCTGACCTCCCATCAGAAGAGAACTTAGCTGGGAACTAAGTTTTTAAGCTTTTTCTTGAGCCCTCTTGACCAAAAGGGGTTCCATTCAGTCAGGAGGGGCTTAGGATTTCTTTAGTTTACAGCTGTGAAACTATGTTAGTGTTTAAATCTTTTAATGTTGGGCGACATGGGTGGATAAAATCATTTGTGTTGAGAATCTGTAGTTTAAATAGGATTTGTGCTCAGAGGTATGTGTCTGGAGTTCACTGATCAAGGAGAGAATCTTTGTTAACTGCTACGTAAAAAATGGGAGTATGCATTATTTTTCTCCCTTATAAAAGGAAAGTCTTCATGTCAGCTGTCAATTTTCTACCTGTCTCGAATGCGGCTGTATGAGAGTGTGATGCCTGGAGCTGGAGCATCTACCTTGAGACCACGAGGAAACAAACAGAAATGTGATAGCCAACTTCTTAAGGATGATAATGTGGAAACTTAGAAAGTGTTGATCTTTGATGACATCATGGAAACATGGATCTGTTAAAATAATTAAATAGGGGGCCATGAGACTGAGGTAGCTCTAATACCATGGGTTCCTACATAAGCAGACCAAAGCCTAACTCAGAATTTAAAAGAAAATGAAACTTAAGCTCAGCTAATCACAAGTGGTCAACTGGGCATTAGTTATATTGTGCTGAACTTCCCATAGGAGTAATTCAAATAAGGTACTTGATCAACCTTCGACTAATCAAATAATTTCCTTGCTCTATGTGCACATCGACTCTATAAAAGCCTGCCTCTGGTGCCACTTTAAAAAAATTCTTCTCTTCTGCTTTTAACAAGGTCCATTGCTTCAACAACTGGCGCCACTTTAGAGAAGACCTAAGCCCTTTGGTTTGGAGCTGCCCGATTCATGAATTTCTGATTGCTCAAACAAACTATTTTTTTTTTTTTTTTTTTGAGACAGAGTTTCATTCCTGTTGCCCAGGCTGGAGTACAATGGTAGGATCACAGCTCACCGCGACCTCCACTTCCTGGGTTCAAGCGACTCTCCTGCCTCAGCTTCCCGAGTAGCTGGGATTACAGGCATGTGCCACCATGCCCAGCTAATTTTGTATTTTTTGTAGAGATGAGGTTTCTCCATGTTGGTCAGGCTTGTCTTGAACTCCCCACCTCAGGTGATCTGCCTACCTTAGCCTCCCAAAGTGTTGGGATTACAGGCGTGAGCCACTGCGCCCAGCTGCTCTTTAACATTTTAATGTACCAAAGTTTATCTTTTCACAATTCCAAATCTGGATACATCGATTTCTAGCCCCCTGCCCCTTTTTAAAAAATAAACTTTAAATTTCAGAATAGCTTGATTTACTGAAAAGTTGCAAATGTAGTACAGAGAATTCCTGTATATCTCTTACCCAGTTTCTCCCCAAATCAACATCTTACTACTATGGTAATTGTCACAACTGGAAACTATGATTCTCACAGTCCTATTAACTAAGTTCCAGGCTTTATTTGGACTTCACTACCTTTCCTCCTAATGTCTCCTTCTATTCTAGGATCCTCTTCAGTGTCCCACATTGCATTTAGTTGTCACATCTCTCTCGTTTCCTCTGGTTTGTGACAGCTTGTCAGAGTTTACAGCTGGCCCTCTGTATCCTCAGGTTCTATATCTGGGGATTAACCAATGAAGGAGGAAAAATGAAAAACTGAAATAAAATAATTAACAATATAAAAGCAAAAATTACAAACAATACATATAACAAGCATTTACATAGCATTTACATTGTATTAGGTATTATAAGGAATCTAGAGATGATTTAAAGTATATGGGAGGATGTGCATATGTTATATGCAACTATTACTCCATTGTGAAAGTTGTCAGAATCAAAATGGAGTCACTTGTGTCAAAACCCTGATAAATGGAGCTGGGGAAGGCCTTGAAGGAAGGGTTCTCACGCACTATGCCTCACAACAAAAGACTCTGCAAAACCGTAACCTTGCATAAAGGCCCAATCTTACACAGAAAATACTTCTGCAGACCTCTGTCCAGCAACTTTGGACTGATGCTACCCTTGTTATTGATCCACGTAGCCAAGAATAATTTAAAGCAATTCATATAATCTTAATTTTCCTTTTAAAAACATCTGTTTGCCTCAACCTCCCCTCAAACGCACATAATTTACTATGGCAGCATATTCCCATTGCAATGCTCTCCCAGACAAATATCATTTTCTTTTAGGGAGTCTCTTTTGTTACTTAGGTTGACATCATCATTGTATACAAGGGACTTGCGCATTCTAATTCTGGTATGCGCAGGGTCCTGGAACCATTCCCCCACGGACACCAAGGGACGACTGTACTTGTTTATCATGACAGAAAACATGTTTTAGGAGTACTATTTTTCTTTTTTATTCCATGGAAGAAGTAGGGTTATGGGTTTTGGACAGGATCATACAATCCGTATGACTTCTTCCTGATGGCGTTATCCTTGATCACCAGGCAAGGTACTGTTTGCCCGGTTTCTCCACTGTACCCCAAACACCTTTCCAGACTGTACTCTTTGGAAACAAGTCACTAGGCGTAGCCAATAATCAAAGTGCGGGTGGGTGGGGCAGAAAGAGCTCCGGCTCTTGGAAGAAGCGGGTATTTAGATGTATTATTTAGAATTTTCCTGTGAGGCGGGTCCAGGGACCCTACTGAAACGATGGAACGAGGGCGGAGACTGGCAATCAAAGGGAATGGACCCGGCAAAGCCAGCCTCGTGGGAAAGACCGAGGGCGGGTCGGAAAGAGCCGCGCGCCCTAGGTGTTTAACTTCGTAAGGGAAGACTCCGCAGGCTGTCTCTTTACTGCTCAGCTTGCCAGGCCGCGGGTCACTGGCTTTTCCGACCTCTGACTAGACGTGGGGGTTATGGGGGTTTCCGGGTGCGGACCTCCAACCCTCCTGGATTGGGCGTCGGCGGCGAGTCCGCGGAAACTGCGCATGCGCGAGCCGGAAGCGGCAGCCCGCGGCGGAAAAGGCGGACCCGGGAGACTGACGACTTGGATTGCTTAAGGACGCGAAGCGGTTGCGACGGCCTTCAGCCTCTCCCTCTGCGGCTCTGGCCCGTACCTTTAACTTGCGTTCCTTTGGGGCCGTTCGGTGTTTCCACGTGTCTTGGGCCCGCCCACTGCAGCCGCCATCTTGGAGGCGGTCGCCGGCGCCTAGGGGAGCTGGTAGGACTTCCGGGTCGGACCTCTAGTTGCCGGGGTAACCGGAGCAGAGTTGCCCTGGTGCGTTCCTTGGTCTTTCATTCATTAGCGTAAAAAGAACTGACTTCAGGTCGCAGGTACTTTCCATTGCTGGCATTGTCGTGTGCGCTGGAGTAACCTCTCATCGTGTGGAATCGTTCACTTAGCGCATAACGATAAGGAGCCTGAGGCCCGGGGGTTCAATGCCCGCCTGGCTGGCCTGTGGCGGCGGGAGCGGTGTGTGTCGGACTGTAGGGCGGCCTCGAGACTAGAGTTTGACTATGGGGCCGAGGACGGTACCCGTGTATGTGGCGGTCACAGGTCTCCGCGTGGTTCTCAGCAGGTTGCTGGTGGACAGCTCGCGCGAGGGCCCGGGAGTCTTGGGGGAACTTCCCGGCGCCGTCTGTGGACTGAGCGCTGGGCCCTGGACCGCACTAGGCGCTCTTGCCTCCGGAGCTGGACTCGCCGACTTTCAGTAAGTTAAATAATGAACCTTGCTTAAACTGCCGAAGTGCGGTTTTAACACTGCCTGGAGTTCTTGTCTCTTACTCGTTTCTGCCCTCTTATGTTTTAGGAGTAGATTTATTTCATGTTTATTTTTCATTTTTATTTATTTATTTTTGAGACATAGTCTCCCTCTGTCGCCCAGGCTGGAGTACAGTGGCGTGATCTTGGCTCACTGCAACCTCTCCCTCCTGGGTTCAAGTGATTCTCCTGCCTCAGCCTCCAGAGTAGCTGGGATTACAGGTGCGCGCCACCATGCCCAGCTAATTTTTGTATTTTTAGTAGAGTCGGGGTTTCACCATTTCGGCCAGGCTGGTCTCGAATTCTTGACCTCAGGTGATCTGCCCTCCTTGGCCTCCCAAAGTGCTGAGATTACAGGTGTGATATGCCGCGACCGGCCCTTATTTTATTTTTATTTTTACTTATGTAATTATTTGTTGAGACGGAGTCTCACTCTGTTATCTAGGCTGGAGTGCAGTGGTGTGTTCTCAGCTCACTGCAACCTTCACCTCCTAGGTTCAAGCGATTCTTCTCCCTCGGCCTCCTGAGTAGCTGGGATTACCCGAGCACGCCACCACGCCCAGCTAATTTTTGAATTTTTAGTAAATTAAGCTGTAGTTACTAGGGCCGAAGATTAAACTTTTAGAGGGACTGATATAATGGGAATTTGTTACTGTAGGGATCATGATTTAGCTCACAGGATAAACCTTTTATGTAGAAAAACACTTGAGAGAATCAGTATACCAAAGTACACTTTTGTTTACTTAAAGGTACAAAGAACAGTGATAATCATATAACTGGAAAAGCAAAGGTTTTTTATTTTCGATTGAGCATCTCCACAGAAGTTTATCCTTTTTTAAGAAATAGAACTGTGTTTTCGAAAGAAGAAACTACAGTTTCAGCATGCAGAAAGGAAAAGGGAGAACAAGCCGCGTCCGAAGACGAAAACTCTGCCGGACTTCTGAATCAAGAGGAGGTACGGTTTTTCTTTCAGTGCCAGTGATGAAAAAAGAAATCCTTTTGTGATTGCTTGTTTGCTCATACGCATAGCTTTTTTTGGGGGGTGGGGTGGGGGGGCCTGAGTCTTGCTCTGTTGCCCAGGCTGAAGTGCAGTGGCGTGGTCCCTGCTCGGTGCAACCTCCGCTTCTCCGGTTCAAGTAATTCTCCTGCCTCAGCCTTCGAAGTACCTGGGACTACGGGTATGCACCACCATGCCCAGCTAATTTTTGTTAGGATTAAAATTTGTTAATCCTAACAAAAATTCAAAAATTTCAAATTTCAAAAATTTGATTTGAAATTCTAGAGAGGGATTTCACCATGTTGGCCAGTCTGGTCTTGAACTCTTAACCTCAGGTGATCTTCCTGCCTTGGCCTCCCAAAGTGCTGGGATTACAGGCATGAGCCACTGTGCCCAGCCTAACACATAGCTTTTCTTTTCTTTTTTTTTTTTTTGAGAAGGATTTTCGCTCTTGTTATCCAGGCTGTAGTGCAATGGCACGATCTTGGCTCACTGCAACCTCCGCCTCCTGGGTTCAGGCAATTCTCCTGCCTTGGCCTCCTGAGTAGCTGGGATTACAGGCACGCGCCACCATGCCCAGCTAATTTTTTGTATTTTTAGTAGTGACGGGGTTTCACCATGTTGACCAGGATGGTCTGGATCTCTTGACCTTGTGATCCACCCGCCTCAGCCTCCCAAAGTGCTGGGATTACAGGCGTGAGCCACCGCGCCCGTCCCACACATAGCTTTTCTTAAAGGCACACAGTGTTCAAAGAGAATCTTCCTTGGAGTGCAGTGGTGTGATCATGGCTCTCTACAGACTTGAACTCCCAGGCTCAAGTAATCCTCCTGGCTTAGCCTCCCTCCTGCCTCAGCCTCCCAAGTACCTGGGATTACAGGTACATGCCATTGCACCAGGCTACTGTTCTCTAAGATTTTTTTTAGCCACAGAGTCTCACTATGTTGCCCAGGCTGGTCTTGAACTCCTGGGCTCAACTGGTCCTCCTGCCTTGGCCTCCCAAAGCATTGATTACAGGTGTGAGCCACTGTGCCCAGCCCAAAGACAATATTTCTTAATAGCAATCTTTTGAATGGCACCCTTGTATTTTTTAAATCCTGGTGGGAATGTGAAGATATCTAACTCATTGTTTTCAACTGTCTTCTCTGGGAATGACTCCCAAGTTTCTTTTTCTGGTCTTGACCTTCAGCTACCTGTAGGATAGCAGTGTTTGGATATAAATTTATCATTTCAAATTCAAGGTAACCCAATCTGAAGAAGATGTTGTATCTCGTTCAGTACAAAAGTGCTTAGCCATCTGGAAAGTCCTATGTAAATGCAGCTGGATATGGTACAGGATATGGATGAGTTCCCCTGCCTTTTTTTTTTTTTCTTATGGAGATCAATAGTTGTTTGATAATCATTTATTAAAGAGACTGCCCTTTTCCACTGAATTGCCTTTGCACCTTGTCCAAAATCAGTTGTCATTTATGTGTGGGTCTCTTCCTATTTTCTGTCCTGTTCCACTGACCTGTTTGTCTGTGTCGACAATATCACACTAATTTGATTCCTCTAGCTTTACAGTAAGTTTTAAAATCAGTCTTTCAAAGACATTGTGGCTATTGTAGGCTTTTTGTATTTCCATATGATTTTTGGGATCAGCTTATTAATTCCTATACAAAAGCCTGCTTGAATTTTGATTAGGATTACGTTGAATGAATACAGTCATATGTTGCATAGGATGTTTTTTCGGTTGACGGATCACCACTGATAGTGGTGGTCCTATCAGTTATAATGCTGTATTTTTCTTTCTTTTTTCTTTTTTTAGAGATGGGGTCTTTCTGTGTTGGCCAGGCTGGTCTCAAACTCCTGTCCTTAAGCAATCCTCCTGCCTTGGCCTCCCAAATGCTGGGAATACAGATGTGAGCCACTGTACCTTGCCAATACTATATTTGTATTGTACCTTTTACGCCAGTGCTTACCATTGTGTAAGTCTGTCCGTACAGTTCATCAGACATGTTCTGTTAAAATGGTGATCCAATTATATAGTGGTTTTAATCATTGTTTGTTCTCTCCTTCTCCGATAGTGAATGAGAGCTACAAGTCTGAATTTATAGAGCTAAGGAAGTGGCTGAAAGATAGGAAGTTTCAGGATTCGAACTTAGTGCCTGCTCGTTTTCCAGGTAAGATCCATCCTTCAGCTGTCCTGCCCTTTCCTGCATGAGAGCCAGGTAAACAGCAGGGGCAACTCTTGCAGATGGCATCAGCAGGTACTTCCCCTCAGCTGGTTTACAGCTGTGCTCCCCTTGGGTTGGAGGAGGAGCCCCCCATGTGTGGCCAGTTAATGGCAGAGCAGTGGGCTTCAGCACTGAGCTGAGGTAGACTGACATTCTTTTCTGGAAGTTGCACTTATTATGGAGGTTAGGTCAATGTGCAGTGGCTCACATCCGTAATCCAGCACTTTGGGAGGCTGAGGCAGGCGGGTCACTTGAGCTCAGGAGTTTAAGACCAGCCTGGCCAACATGACGAAATCCTGTCTCTACTAAAAATACAAAAATTAGCCAGGCGTGCTGTTATGCCCCTGTAGTCCCAGCTACTCTAGAGGCTGAGCTGGGAGGATTGCTTGAGCCTGGAAAGTTGAGGCTACAGAGAGCCATGATCACGCCCCTGCACTCCAGCTCGGGTGATAGAGTGAGATCTCGTCTCAAAAACCTAACAAAATCCAAACAAAAAGCATTTTCTTCTGGAACATTCTCTCACAGAAGTTGGGCAGCTTGCTGTGGGCGTGTGTCTGCATAGATGGCCACTCCACTCTTCCCATAGGTGGGCAGGAGATAGTCACAGGGAGGACCAAGATGCTCTTTAAAAGGATTTGGAGTCTGCTGTAGCACAGAGATAATGGTGCAGTGAGGGCCCCAGAGTTCTACATCACAGGGCAGGCTGTTGACATTTCACCTTATAGAAAAGTTAAAGCATGCCACAGAATACTCCCCTTGGCCATTAGAATTATTACTCAGGTACCTATTAGGTAATTGAACTTTGAGCAAATTAACTTCCTCATATTCCCCCGCTCAGGCAAATGATTTCCCATGTGTGTCCCTTGCTGAGTGAGGCGATGTGTGTAAAGTTGTTCTCCATGAGTCAGTTACACATGATGACTTTGAACTAAAATGCTTGATTTGAGCCATTCTCTAAAGGGCCCCTTTTAGTTGATGGTCATGAACCATATGGTCATCCTTTAGCATAATGCTTGACTTACTATTTTTGTGTATCAGAGATGGTCAGTAAAAGCCACACTCTTAGATGTTACTGAATGGAGTTCCTCCCCAGAGGATCAGGAGAGTCAGTAGTGTCAGTAGTAGACTTGCCACGTCTAAGGCCTGCCCACGTCTTAGGTGTTATTTGCCCCAAGAAGGATGGGTTTACAGTAATCAAGCAGGAATCAGCCAACGGTTTAGATGGAATACCTGAGAATAGTCCATCTGTCTATAATTTGGAGCAGTAAAGAGTTCCCATTTTTAAAAGTGAGAACGACTTGCCCGGGCCCCAACCCCAGATTCAGGGCCACGCAGGGGCTAAAGCGCAGTGATCCGAGCCAGTGCTTACAGTTCGGGGGACAAGGGACCTTCTATGTATGGAACCTTCATCTATTTTTTTAGCTCTTAATCAGTGTATGATAGGTAAAATTTTTGGGCTTCCGTCAAAATGTACAAAACTCTGGGGACTTAGTCTTAGTTTGTGGAGGGGCACAGGGAATCTCCTATGCAGGATTCCATCTGTAGACTGTCTTCTTTTCTGCCTTGGGAACCGACAGCGTTTCCTTTCACCACCAAAAGTGCTAGCCAGGTCTGGGCCTCCCATGTAGATTTATGACAGTGGAAATTTTGAGGCTTTAGGACATTTGTAAATAAGCTTTACTCTTATGAGCTCCTAATGGCCACTTCTACTTTGCCTAGTATATCCAATATAAAAATGAAAGTTAGTGTAGATTACTATGTGTTTTTTGGTATTAAACACTATCTTTCATAGAAATATAGGGAAAGGGTCTTCTAGATGTATTCCAGAGGCCAGGTTTTGTTCATATATACGTTTAGAGAGAAATTTTCACTTACTAGCGCGTAAGTTTTTGGAAGGATAACCATGTAGAAGAAAACCCTCCTGTTAGTAATGGATCCGAGGGGGAGTTCTGGTCCACAGGGATGATTAACTCCACGATGGGGTGCACAAATCAGTAAAATAAGCTCTTAACACTAGAACCAGCTGTATGAGCAGACAGTGTACTCCTGGGAGGGGAGATAAATTGGGACTCATGAAATCCAACTTGCTGGGAAACTGATGGGAGACCTGAGGCAGGAATTCCTACCTTGAGCCAGGAGCTCTCAGTAGTCCTGCATTGACTTGGCTGAATTATTTTTCCTCCCAGCTAAGAGAGGAAAGGTGAAGAATGATGAATTGGAGACATGACTACTCTAGGCCTCATGTGGTCATATAATCCCTATGCCTGCCGGAAAGCTGTCATCTGAGCATCCTTTCAATGTTCATCTGCCTGTTCCAGGAACAGAAGCTTAGGCATGGAGGGAGAAACTTCTGGAAGTTGGTGGGGCATTAATCCAGCTGCTGAGGTTACTGTGGTGACTGTGTTCCAGCCAGAACCTTGGCTCACAGGGAACAGCTGGATCTGACCTACCCAGCTGAGCTCAACAGGTCCTGCAGAGCCTGTCGCATGGGTTACCTGATCAGAGAGGGGAGGATGTCTGCAGGCTTTGTGGGGACTTGAGTGGGGTTTAGTGGCTAGCTGGTCAATCAGAGGGGTCTCAAGGTCTTTACTCCGGAGAGCTGAGTCTGGCAATGGGGATAAGAGCCTGGGGCTCTAGCTTCAGAGGTTGGCTGGGCAATGGGAGTAGCCCCTCATTAGCTGGTAGGCCCCAGGGGAGAAAGTTCAGCTCAAAGCTTCCTGCAAGAGGCCCAGCAGTAGATCTATATAACGTCCATGGTGGTCTTTAGGTCTCACCTCTGAAGCTGACTTTGCCCTTCAAGGATTATACCTCACTGGAGGTCAGGGTGTTTTCTGGAATATCATTCTGACTCCCTGTTTTCCTTGGGAATCAAAGGCTGAGAGACATCCAGCTTCAGCCTTGTGTAATTTTGAGGTTCACTTTTTTTTTTCTGTAATGGTATCTCTAGGACCTTAAAGGGATAGTGGGATTTATTCTTTTTTCTGTCTTTGGTTTCCTAGGTACAGGAAGAGGGCTGATGAGCCAAACATCCCTGCAGGTGAGAACTTTTCTTTTATCCTTGAAACCCCTTGTAGATTTTGCTGCTTTGTTTTTGTGGTTCAAACAAAGTGGATTAAAACTATTTCAGACATACAGTCATTCTTACTTACCTAATAGATATGTTTGAATATGGTTCTATCAACCAGGATTAAGTTTGTTGCAATAAAAGACAAGCCCAAAGCTGAGGTACGTAAGCAGCATGGAAATTTATTCTGTTCTCACCCAGAGAAACAAGCTTGGGGTAGGCTGACCCGGGCTGGTGGGACAGTCCTCTGGCCGGCAAAGGCCCCAGCTCCTTCCAGCTCTCTCACGTCCTTAAGGGAACTGCACCTGCAGGTCAGGGTGTGGGTCTTGGAACCTGAGCAGCAGAAGAGAGCAAGGGGGTGAGGAAGGGCAGGTTTCCTCCCTTTAAGGAAACTCCCTTCCCTATGTCCTTGGATATCGATCAGGTACGAAGCCCTAGCCACGTACAAGGGAGGAGAGATGTGCTGGCCTTTCCCCAGCTGTGTGCCCTCTTAAGTAGGATTCTGTTAGTGAGGAGGGGGAGAGAAGGCATGTTGGGATAGGCAGCTAGCAGTCCCTGCCACAACACACGTTACATGTCAGATCATGTTTTCAGTGTGCTAAGAGAGCTGCTGCTGTCTGTGAGGCACCCATGGTGCAGCAGATAGAAGCCAGAGTTGGGGAGGGCGAGGCCTCAGGCTTGGGCCCCAGTTGCCTTCAGCTGCCTGCTTTCAGCCGCCTGCCTTCAGCTGCTTACCTTCAGCTGCCTGGGGGCCCTAGCGTGAGACCTCTCATCCTTTCGGCTTCTGTTTTCTCACCTACAAAATGAGGAAGTCAATGAGGATCTCAAGGTTTCTTTTCATTCTTCCAATGCTATTTTAAAGGATCTGTAATACACAATTTTATGTAAAGCTAGAAATTAATTTTTTCTTTTATTTAAAAATTATCTTATTTTTAATTCTTTATTTAAAATGTTCGCTCAGTTGTGTACATATGTTTAGCCTAAGGAATGGTGTCCGTTTTTTTTTTTAAGTAGATAAAAAGTAATTTGTTTTTTTGAGACGTAGAGTCTTGCTGTGTCACTCAGGCTGGAATGCAGTGGCGTGATCTCGGCTCCCTGCAACTCCGTCTCCCGGGTTCAAGTGATTCTCTTGCCTCAGATTCCTGAGTAGCTGAAATTACAGGCATGCACCATCATGCCCAGCTAATTTTTTTGTATTTTTAGTAGAGACAGGGTGTCACTGCCTTGGCTAGGCTGGTTTTGAACTCCTGACCTCATGTGATCCGCTCACCTCGGGATTACAAGCGTGAGCCACTGTGCCTGGCCCAAAAATAATTTTAATTGTTGAAAATGTTGTGTTAAAAATATAAGTTTTAAAAATATTAAAAGAAAGTATAATTTTTTAAAACTACAAGCACAGTCAGCAAGGGAATTTGGGTTATGTTTCCTAAACAGGTGAAAAATCACAAACACAAAATGTCTAAAGAATGGTAACTTTTAATGTTGTGATTCTGTTAGGCCGTGTTAATGTTTTCATCATTTAAACATTTTAATTGTGGTAAAATATGTGTAACATAAAACCGTCGTAGCCGTCTCGAAGTTCGCTAGTATTAAGTACGTTCATATTGTTGTGCAGTATTTTTATTTTTGGAGGAAGGTGTAATTGACTTCATTCCGTAGCAGAGTTTGGGGATAGAAATGTCGTGCAGCAGTAACTGTAGGTAGTTTTTGTTTAGATCATGAAACAGTTGTTTCACATGTACATTCAAATGCAGTTGTTTTGTCAAAACTTTTTGAAAATTGAGGCATATTTTACATATAGTGAAATGCACAGTGAAGTGTGCAGTTCGCATTTTGATGATAAAGAGGTTTACCTGAGTATTTTCAAACCAGAAGATCATAGGGTGTTGGAATGGGAAGTAACCATAGTGATCATCCAGCTTAGTCTTGCTTTACAGATGAGGAAACCAGAAATTGATCCCAGAAGATTTTTTGGCTGAGATTTTTTTTTGTTTTGAGACTGAGCCTTGCTCTGTTGCCCAGGCTAGAGTGCAGTGGCGCGATCTCAGCCCACTGCAACCTCCGCCTCCTGGGTTCAAGCGATTTTCCTGCCTCAGCCTCCCGAGTAGCTGGGATTACAGGCACCCACTGCCACACCCAGCTAATTTTTGTGGTTTTAGTAGAGATGGGGTTTTACCATGTTGGCCAGGCTGGTCTTGAACTCCTGACCTCAGATGATCCACCCGCCTTGGCCTCCCAAAGTGCTGGGATTACAGGCATGAGCCACTGTGCTTGGCCTTGGCTGAGATTTTTAACCAACTTAGATGCCAGTTAAAATTAAAGGACAATCTTATATCTAGCTTTTTAGTGCTATGTTTTATTTAAACTGTTTTCTATTACTTTACATCTAATTGTTCTTTCTATGGTTCTATCTCAGGAGACACTGAAAATGATACCTTTTCAAGTGGTAGAATTCGATCCTTATTATGTTGGGCAGGCCGATAGGCATGGGTTATGTAGAGAGCAGATCATCGCCTGGCCACTTGGATTTCACTGGATACAATTTTTTGGGGGTAGTTTCTGTCTGTTTCCTGTTGGTAGCACTATTTCCTGGCATAAGAAAGTGAAGAAACAGTATAATTTGAATTGTTAAAATGTTTCCACCACTCTGTCTGATGAGGGGTTGACTGCTTGTGGGCGTCAGTCACATAGTGAACCTAGACTGTTTGTTGGGGTTGTGGGACCTGGCATTGGAGCAGCCTCGTGTGCATCTGCTGACTTCGGAGTTGGGAGCTACTCCATTGGTGGGCTCATTGGTGGCTTTTGGTTGAGTTAGAGTGGGTTCTTGGTAGGTGATGTGGGATCAAAGACTTGATAAGACTCATACTCATGGGTCCTTCCCAAAGCACAGGCGTCCTCAACTTTACTTTCCTTTTGACCAGGAGGGACAGATGATTATTTCACTGCCGGAGAGTTGCCTGCTCACCACGGACACGGTGATTCAAAGCTACTTAGGGGCGTACATTGCTAAGTAAGTGATCACATGCATGCTTACCTGCTGTGAGTGCTTCTCCTTAAAGCCTGTCACTGGCAAATAGGTCATTTGAAATGGAATTCATTAGGACCCAGTCCCTTGTAGAGCTGATAAATACCTGAAATGATTTGAGAAGTTTATGCTGTTCTAGAAAGTTTCTTCTTAATTCACTGTAAACCATAGTTTTAAGGTTTTCAGTAGACTTCCTGGGGTGTGGGTAGAAATCCTGATCCATCACACACTAAGAAATAAAGATTAAATGGTATAACATATGGAAGTCACAGCTGAGTGCCTCGGCTCTCAGTAGCCTGTTTTCTTCCATCATAGTAGCTCTTGACAAATTTAAGTTACCCTCTCTTATTTCTACCCTTACTCTTCTTCAGTTTTCCTTTAACTCTGATGACATGATGAAAGAATTGGTTTTATTTAGGTATAGAAGAGAGGAGGCTGCTGTGGGAGTTGTCTTCTGGTTCTGCTGGGCCTTTGTTTGGGGCATTTTGAGGACAGAGTGAGAGAGACCCTCAGTGGAAGGGATTTCTAAATTATGAGGGTTGAAAGAGGATACTATTTCTTTCTTTCTTTTTTTTTTTTTTTTGAGACAGGGTCTTTCCCTGTCACCCGGACTGGAGTGCAGTGGTGTGATCTTGGCTCCCTGCAACTTCCACCTCCCAGGTTCAAGTAATTCTCATGCCTCAGCCTCCTGAGTAGCTGTGATTACAGGCATGCTCCACCAAACCTAATTTTTGCATTTTTAGTAGAGACAAGATTTCACCCTGTTGACCAGGCTGGTCTCAAACTCCTGGCCCCAAGTGATCTGCCCGCCTTAGCCTCACAAAGTGCTGAGATATAGGCTAAGAGCCACTGTGCCTGGCCTCTACTGTTTCTTAACCCTTAGGTAAGTTCTTTTCTGCCTGGCATGTTTTTGCAAGAAGGTGAATAGGTCTTTAGGCCTGTGTCAGGCAAGGACGCTGTCATTATTAACACTTTCTGAATCATTCTGAAATTTTGAGTAGAATGTGTGACAGTATAGGAATCTGGACATTGAAAGATTGATGAAGATGTTTTCTGAATACATTTAGGCAATATGAGATCTTTTTATTGGCATTATGCAAAACAAAAATACTGTGATATATAACTTGTATTAGAGCAGGTAAACTTTGGAATAAAAGCTTTAGAACTGCAGCGAGTGTATATGAGCATATTCAGGTTTGGTCTAGCTTAGTGCCGTCCAATAGAACTTTCAGCAGTGACAGAGATGTTTTTTCTGCATTGCCCAGTATGGTAGCCGCTAGCTCCGAATGGCTGTTGCACACTTAAAACATGGCTTATATCACTGAGGGACTGAAATTTAAATATTATTTAATTTCAAAGAATTTAAATTAGCTCTGTGTACAGAGGTACAGGTCTCAGTTCTTCCCATCGTTCTATATCTTTATTCAGGTGAGACCAATGGACTTAGGCCAGAAGCTTTACAACTGGAGACCCAAGTTGGAAGCAAAGAGGTTTTTTTGTAAAGGGGAATTTCTTGCAACAAACCTGGAACTTGGCTTAGTGAGTCAGTTTTTCTGATGGGTAAATATGGCTCTTTCAGAGTGCTAGCACTGGGGCTGTGCTCCCCCAGAGAGGAAGAGCCTTAAGGAAGGAAGGAACTCTTGAGTCTATTAAGTAAACTGAGTGTGTTGACAGTTTGAACACATTCCCTTTGGCAGCAAAACCAACTACTTAGCTTATTTCGTATTTTGAATCAAAGTAACTCCTTTAAACCGGCTTTTGATTTTCAAAGGTGGAAGCCTCCTCCATCTCCTCTGCTGGCTCTGTGCACCTTTTTAGTTTCAGAAAAGCATGCTGGGGACCGATCTCTTTGGAAGCCTTACCTGGAGATTTTACCCAAGGCCTATACTTGCCCTGTTTGTTTGGAGCCGGAAGTGGTGAACCTTCTTCCCATATCTTTAAAAGCAAAGGCTGAAGAGCAGAGAGCCCATGTGCAGGAGTTCTTTGCTTCCTCCAGAGACTTTTTCTCTTCTCTGCAGCCTCTGTTTGCAGAGGCTGTTGACAGCATCTTCAGCTACAGTGCCCTGCTGTGGGCTTGGTGCACTGTCAACACCAGAGCTGTGTACCTGAGGCCCAGGCAGTGGGAATGCCTTTCTGCAGAGCCGGACACCTGTGCACTCGCTCCGTACCTGGACCTGCTGAATCATAGCCCACATGTCCAGGTGAGAAGCTGACAAGGGAGCAGTTGTTCTATTTGGATAGGAAGGCTTCCACTGCCTGGAACCTGTGACTGCAGATGATGGGTGACACCACAGGAAGAGGCGGTGGCAGCTTCAGGTGACTGGGCTGGGTTGGCCTGTCATCAGGAGTGCTCTAGTCGTTCTTCCAGACCCCACTGTCTTTCCTGCAGTGCTTTCCCTGCCCATTTCTCCACTCTGCTCTTCAGGCCTTCAGAGCCTCGGGCAGCGCCCCTGTCTGGTCTTTCCCAGCAGTCTGTGGGAAATTCCTTCTTTCTTCTCCCTCGTTCCTCCTTCCAGACTGAGACTGAAGCCCAGCTTGCTTTCCTGCCTCGTCCCTTTTAAACTTGGTGGCATAGCTGTCACAGCATTTGTCTTTGATTTGATTGCTGACTGACTTGTTCTTTTTCCCACTGACTCTGAAATCTTTGAGAGTGGGAAATCTTTGTTCCTCTTTGTTACCCCAGTGCTTATGGCAGGGCCTGGCACGTAGCAGGTGTTGAGTAAATGTTTATTGAATGGATGGCTATTTGTTAGGAAAGGGTTCTGGGAAATAATGAAAGAAACCCGATTTGGGAGGTGGTCACTGATCACTTCCTCCCCCGCCTTTTTCCTGGGTGGCTCTTTTAGGAAATGAATGTATTTGCAGGGCATGCAGGGGAAGGGGCCTGGCTTGGAGAGCAGAGGAGAGTCCGTCAGTCAGTTCACCTGTAACCCATTTGGGGTGTGCTGTGGAGGGACCTGTCAGGGATCCGTGTCCTGGCTGTTGCCTTCACGTGTGACGTTCCACTGTGAGAAGGGCAGTGATGGCCTTGTTAGCCCAGGTGCCAGCTCATGTGCTCTCCATGTGAGAGCGGAGCTTAGGGAGGTTCCTGCTCTGCTTTCTTAGCCCAGGAACAAGCCCTGGGCCTGTCTGCTTGTTACTTTTGTAGAAAGAAGTGTCTCTAACAATCAGAGCAAAGGAGGCTGGGATTAGATGAGTGTTTCTGTGGTTGATGTTGATGAAATAATATCAAGGGTGTGTAGAGCAATAGGATGCTAGACATGGGGAGTCTGTAATCCCCAGCGCAGTGACTTTATTTTTAATAGGGTTTTTGTACATTTATATGCCAAACCAATGATTTGATAGTCTACTCTAATAAGAGAACATCACAGACTACAGACTGTGGACATGTGGCCCGAGAGCCCTGAGCCAAGAGTGGTTTTTACAGTTTTAAAGGATGTAAAAATACAACAACTTTGACAGAGACTACATAGGGCTGGCAAAGCCGAACCTGTTTACTCTGTAGCTTTTCACAGATCAAGTGTACTGGCACCACCATGTCCTCTTTCCGTGGGTCTGAGTGGATGTGGCCAGTAAACTGCTGGCAGTCTCATCTGTGCTGTGTCGGGCGTTGGGTGTGGCCATTCTCGGGTGGGACTCCCTCCCTCACCAGTGGGGTGAAGTCGGGGTGGGTGAAATTGAAGTGGCATCTTCCCTAGGGGGAGTTACATTTCTTGATGAGTGTTTGAAAACTGCACCTGACTCACATTAATGTTATACAATAACTTAATCTGCTTTGTAGTTTCACACCTTACTTTAGAAAAACCTTTAACAGTTTTTCTCTGTAGGTAAAAGCAGCATTTAATGAAGAAACTCACTGTTACGAAATTAGAACGACTTCACGTTGGAGGAAACATGAAGAGGTGTTCATCTGTTACGGCCCTCACGATAATCACCGGCTGTTTCTGGAATATGGATTTGTTTCTGGACATAATCCCCATGCTTGCGTTTATGTCTCAAGAGGTTGGAATCAACTTTGTTTTTGATGTTAACACTGTATTTTTCCCCCCATTTGGAGATGTGTTTATTTTCAGTTTTCATAAAAATATCAAAACCTTAGGACTGACATAGACATCACTCATTTTCCTCTAGGTAGGCCTAGCCTCACTCTTACTGACTGTAGTTTCATTGTTGAAGTAAAAACAACACAGCTGTGATTGATATTTAGGATAAGAAGAATTGAGAAGTTTTCACTGCATTGGGTCAGAAGATAGAATGGAAGAAAAGGAAAACTGCTGAGGAACGAAATACAATATTAAAGGATGGAAATGTTTGTACGGAAACACTGTCACTGTCACTAAAGACAGAACAGGATTAGGGAGCAGTAAATAAACAATATTTATTAAGCACCTACTGTGGGTAAGACACTGTGCTAATCACAGAGGTAGCTCTGTTATGTAGCCCTTGTTTCTGGAGGTTGATGCCGTGACGAGATTTGATTTCATGTATGTTCTTTTGTGATCTCTTAACTAGTCAGCATCATTGCTTTTATTATTTTTGAGTCAGAGTCTCACTCTGTTGCCCAGGCTGGAGTACAGTGGCATGATCTTGGTTCACCGCAACCTTCGCCTCCCAGCTTCAGGCGATTCTTGTGCCTTAGCCTCCTGAGTAGCTGGGATTACATACCACCATGCCTGGCTAGTTTTTGAATTTTTAGTAGAGATGAGGTTTCACCTTGTTGGCCAGGCTAGTCTTGAACTCCTGGCCTCAAGTGATCTACCTGCCTTAGTCTCCCAAAATGCTGGGATTATATGAGTGAGCCACTGCGCCTAGCCTGGTTTTATTATTATTATTTTTAATTTTTGTTTTTTCATGAGAGAGACAATGTCTTGTTATGTTGCCGAAGCTGGTCTTGAACTCCTGGGCTCAAGAAGTCCTCCTGCTTTGGCCTCCCAAAGTGTTGGTGTTACAGGCAGGAGCCGCAGTGGTTGGCCCAGTTTTATTATTTTGAAATAGTAAGTTAACCATTAAACTGATGGTGTGAAAATTCCAAATAATAGTGTTAAAAAGGACATAGAAGACTGATTTTTTCCCCCTTTCTGAAACAGTAACGAAGCAGTTTTCGAGGCCATGAAAAAACGGCAAGGGATTTATTATATATATAATTTGGAGCATTTTTAATATAGGTTTGATTGGAAATAGAAACTGATCCCAAGTCAGGCAGATACCACTGCATCTCATAGGCAGAATAATAATGTGATTTCTTAAAAAAAAAATAGAAAAACAAAAACGGGGTCTTGCTGCTAGAAAACCAGCTTTGAGATTGGCCTCGTGTTTTCAAAGTCCTGATACATTTAATATTGGTGTCCATGGAATATTCATTTGTTGAACAAATTAATTTGAGCAAAGATTATATTTGTTATTTTTACATTTTTAAAAATAAAATAGAAAAATCCCTCAGTGCCCTGTTTCTCCAGATAGCTTCATTTGTGCATATTTACCTTAAGCTTTCTGTCGTGTCAGTCGCTGACGTCCAGACTGCGTGATTCTGGTTCTGAAAAAGCTCGATATTGTAAAGCTTTCCTCCTGTGTTGCAGGGCCTCTACTTTTGCTGGTTGTAATTTTCCAACAGTCATGCTGATGTCCTCTGACCTGATTGTTTCTGGTGGATTTACTTAGCGGGAGCACGAGCTGAGGTTTTGTGTGCTTAGTCCTCTGGCCTCGGAATTCTTACAGCTTTTCAGGGACTCAGTACTGATACGACTGAATTGGACTTGAAGAGTGGACTTCTGTGTGAATTAGGTTGAACTGTTTATGCATGTCTGGATTACTAGGGGGAAAGGAAGTGAATTGAAGTGAAGGGAAGGGAGACATACTTTTGTCCAAATTTACGTCCTAATTCTCAGTCTGTTTTTTTCTTTTTTAAATTTAGAAATACTTGTTAAATATCTTCCATCAACGGATAAACAGATGGACAAAAAGATTTCCATCTTAAAGGATCATGGCTATATAGAGTAAGTGTTTCTCTTTCCCTCTTAAAATTATTCCTTTAGGAAATTTTTATGGAAAATTTGGGGTTATGGTTTCCGTAGGGGTGAGACACCTCCTGACCCTGTATCAGCTGATGAGTAGGTATTGAGCACTTACTATATGTAGTAAAACTGTGCTTGATGTTGTAGAGGACATAAGGAGTGTAAGACACTTGAAAGAAACTTATTTAGGGACATAAGGTACAAGCTGGAAATAGTAAATTGTGGTACCAAAAGAGAACTTGGATGTGTTGATGGGCGGCCGAGGGTGAGTCTGTCTATGCTTGGTCATGTGGGAAGGCCAGGCTGGCCCTCAGGAGAGCCCAGGCACCTAGCAACATGATGTAGGCTCTTGGAGTAGGTGGGTAGCTGGGTGATTCCATGCCAAGGGGGTTAAACGGTTCAAGGCTCTCCCTTTTGGATTTTCTTTTCTGAATGAAATTAAGTTTTAAAAGACCCAGCCATGGTATGAGCGCAGCCTGGCGGTGGTGGCTGCCATCTGTGATGCCAGAGTACTTCCAGTTCTTCAGTGTTTCTCTCACTGGGAACTCCTGCGCATGTGCCCTGCCTGAGGCCCCTCATCCACGTTCAAGCTTCTTACTGTAATTACTGGAAAAGAGCCGTTTACTCTTCAAGAGAAATGTAGAGAATTTTCTGTTACTTAAGCTTTCTTCTTAAGTATTTGCAGACTGATTTTCTCTTGTCCTTTGACCAAGATTGCAAGTTACATGACATTCAGCAACCCCTTTAAAAAGGTGTTTAGCTCTTCACCCAGTTGCTGTGAGGTCATGAAACACTGAAATGACAGATTTGTCATTTGTTTTCCTACTTCAGAAATTTGACATTCGGATGGGATGGACCGTCTTGGAGGTTACTCACAGCCCTTAAGCTGTTAAGTCTGGAAGCTGAAAAATTGTAAGTTGGTCTTCAGCTGTAGCACCAGTCTAGATACAACTTTGGAAGCTGGTTTGTTTTTGGCGGGCATTCAGATATCCAGGGAGGAAAAAGGACTGCCATGCAGCGGAGTGGCTTTTTTGTTATGTAACTTGCCCATGTAGTGAGTGTTCCATTTCTAAGTTTTAACCATTTTGGAATTCTCGTTTAGAATCAATCAGAGTACATGGTTCTGAGAATTTTTCGGTTTCTACTCATATTTCCCTCCTGGTGACCTGAAATCCTTTAAAAAGTGTGGGCTTTGGCAGTGTTCAGAGGAAAGTCTCAGAGTAGTTAGGAGCAAGAGCTTCCCAGGAGCAAGAGCACCTAACGACAGTCCGGCCCTGAGGCAGATCCCAAAGCCCCGCTGAAGGAGGGGCCTGGACTTTTCCATGGGGGAGGTGGGTCGGGGAGCCCCCAGTGTGGGCATGCATCCTGGCCAGGGTCCCTCATGTTCCTGCCCGGTTGTCAGTCCTGCGCCCCGCAGCCACCTGCCGGCACATCCAGCTGTGCGGGACCCAGGGCAGGGGCAGCTTCAGCCAGAGTCCCTGGCAGGGAGAGCCGCTTGCAGGCTTCTGCTGCTAGGTATATGGGGAGAACTTGAACATGGTGCAGCCTGCCCTTGAGCGTTTGGGACGACCGGCTGAGATGAGGCCCAGAAGCAGCCCTTAGCGCAGTGCCTGGAGCAGTCGGTGCCCCTGCAGTGATGCCTGCCCTTCTTCTGGATGAGATGATGTTGCTTCCTTCTTTTTCTCTAGGAACTTTTGGAGGAAAATTTCTCCCTCATCTCAACACCACAGCTTTTGTTTTTATTCTTAGCGAATGGAGTGTTTTTATCTTACCGATCCTATGATTTCTTTAACTGATGTTTCCTTCTTTTTATTGTTCACTGGAAAACCGAGAGGCAAATCTGAAGTCCATCCGGACGTACCGAGTGTGAAGGCGTGTGGTTTCTCACTGACCCGTTCCTGCTGCGTCCTGGCTTTTTTCCTCTCATCTCCCTGTGTCTTGTTTTCCACCATTATTCATCTCACCTTTGATTTTGTGTGTACTCATGTAAGCATCTTTAAATACTTCTGGCAACAAGGTATGAGTCCTTTTCAGACCCTTCAGCCTAAAATTAAATACAACAACTGCTTGTTTCCCGGAGGTCTTCCTTAGGCCTCCTTTCTTCCGTTTGAGGTATTTGAGTTACCGCTTACTGAGTGCGGTGGCAGAAAAAGCATGTTTGAGGCTCTGCCTGATACATATTTCTGTCTCTCACTGGCTCTGTCACTTAGGGTGAGTTCTCCAACTTTCCCGATTCTATTTCTTTGAGTCTAATGTGGGGATAATTGTGCTTTTTTTGCTGGGTAATTGTGGAGGTAAATTAGATAATGGTTGTTCACAAGCACTGTGCCTGACACTCAGTAATTTCCTTTTTTCTTTCCTGAGAACACATCGATTTCCTGAGCTTTCACCTGTGCTCTCTAAAACTGAAGACTTCTGAGTCTATTCCGGTCTGTGTCTTGCCAGCTGTTCTCAATTCTAATGGGCTCCTGTTTACTTCCCCAGCAGCCATTGTTCCTTCCCGTTGAAGCCACTTCTACTTCCAGATTCTCAGTGTTCAGAATCTGGCCCTCCATCCTCTTTCTCCCAATAGTTCTTATTCCTAGTGTCTAGATCTGCTGCTGCCATCTCTGCTCCACATCCTGCTGTGGCTCCCTCGCACCTGCCACAACAGACCCACCAGAGTGGGTCCTGCCTGCCAGCTGAGCCCCATTTCCTGGAGCCTTTGTCGTAGAGCATTGGAATGACCTGCATGGAGAGAGGGCTTGGCCGTAGATTCGTCCTTCCAGATGCAGAACATTTTGCTTTGTGAATTGTGTCCAGTTTGCTACTGTTTTGGACAGACTTGAAGAGAAGGAAAACTCCCACCTTTGCTCCCTAGGCCTCTGCTCTTGGCTGTGGACTCCCTTCCTGTTCTGTCTCTTGCTTCGTTCCCATAGCCAGGGACAGGACTTCATTCACTCATGTGTCAGACACAGGTTTGTGATGATGATGACATTCCCTTCTTGCCTGCAAAAAGCACCCAACCCCCGTGCTTTTTATTCTCAGCTCCTCCTCCTCCTTTCTTACTACCTGGTTGGCTTCCACACAGGGACTGCAAGTGACATGGGTCCTTGTGGAATCTGCTTATGGAATGAGTTGTATTTATGCTTCTGGAGAAATAGAAGGAGTTTATTTGTTGCACTGAAATTTAAAAGTATTTTTTGAGAGTCTGCTAAAATTGTGTCATGGAACATTTTGGTTCTAGTACATGCTGGAGAAAAGTACTTCTTGGGGAAGTAATTTCAGATACGAATGAGAAGACAAGTTTGGATATAGCCCAGAAAATATGCTGTTATTTCATAGAAGAGACCACTGCTATGCTTCAAAAGGTATGTTTCTAGAATATTTACATCCTTAAAGAAATGTCTTGATGAAGCAGTTTCTTGTTTTGTACATGTTACTGGGGATAGTGCATTTGATAAGAGGATTGCTCAGTGCCTTCAATAAATAAATGTTGATGTAATCTCTATTTTTGACTGTTAACATTGGACGTATGCTTTTTCTCTCAAACTTTTTTCTTTCTTTCTTTCTTTTTCCTTTTTCTTTGAGACAGAGTCTTGTTCTGTCTCCCAGGCTGGAGTGTAATGGTATGATCTTGGCTCACTGCAACCTCTGCCTCCTGGGTTTAAGTGATTCTCCTGCCTCAGCTTTCTGAGTAGCTGGGATTACAGGCACCTGCCACCACATCTGGGTCATTTTTATATTTTTAGTAGAGACAGGGTTTCACCATGTTGGCCAGGCTAGTCTCAAACTCCTGACCTCAGGTGATTTGCCCGCCTCAGCCTCCCAAAGTGTTAGGATTACAGGCATGAGCCACGGCACCCGGCCTCTTTATTTTTAATTGTTCAGTAAAAATTGTATATATTTGTATACATTGTGGATGGCTAATCAAACTATTTACTATATCATGATCACATATACTTATTTTTTTGTGGTGAGAACACTTAAAATCTACTCTTAGCCATTTTCAGGTACATAATATATGTTTCTACTGTAGTTACCATGATGTACAATAGATCCTCTGGTCCAGCTGAAATTTTGTGTTTTTGATCAACATCTCCCTACTTCCCCTCCAACTCCTCAGCCTTGGTGACCACAGTTTTGCTCTCTGCTTCTATGAGTTTTGACAATTTTAGATTCCACATACAGTGAGATCATGGAGTATTTGTCTTTTTGTGCTGGCTTATTGCTGTGTGACAACATGTCCTCCGGGTTCATCCATGTTGTCACAAATGACAAAATTTCCTGCTTTTCTGAGGCTGAATGTACTTCGCTGGCTATATATGCCGCGTTTTCTTTATTCGTCTGTTGATGAATACTTAGGTTGATTCCATGTCTTTGCCTATACCGTTTATTCAAAGGTAGAAAGTAAAAAAGGTAAAAAGTAAAAAGGACTGCATGACTTCAAGCATTTTTTTCTCATTGATGTTTTATTTAGTAAATGTTTTAGTTAAATGAGAAATCAGCTCATTTGTATGAACACATGCCTGGGATTTAAAGCATGATTTTAATGAACCTTGAAAACATTGTGCTAAATGAAATAAACCAGACACAAAAGGACCAATACTGTATGATTCCACTTATCTGAGGTTCCTAGAACGGGCAAGTTCACAGAGACAGTTCAAGTTCAAAGAGCGGAATGGGGTTATTGATGATGGTTGTAGAGTTTCTGTTAGGGGTGATAGGAAAAGTTCTGGAGCTGGAGAGCGGCGAGGGTTCTGTAACGATCAGATGTACTTCCTGCTGCTGAGCTGTACGCTTGAAACAGTTAAAAGGTATATTCTGTGATATATCCATGTTTTACCTCAATAAAAATATAAAAACTTTCAGGTGTCTCGTACGAAGGATGAAAAAGAGGCTCTGATAAACCAGCTCACTTTGGTGGAATCCCTGTGGACGGAAGAGTTAAAGATTCTCAGGACATCTGCCAAGACCCTGCATAGTTTGCAAATAGCTTTGACCTGACTTCACCGAAGCGTGAAGTCACCTCCTCTGGTGGGTGTGACTTGTACATTTTAGACTAAGGTCTGATGGACTAAATTTCCATAGTTTAGAATCGAAGAGTTGCTTCTACTCAACAGTTAGGAACTTAGTCCTTTTTTCTCTTGCTTTTCCACAGAAACAGAAGTTAATATGAAGAGAGCCATCATGGGCTGGGGTGGTGTCCACCCCCAGGACATGCAGGAGTCTGCAGGGGCAGCACAGCTCTGGGATTGTGGGGCTGTGAGTGAACCAGCTGTGGACCAGCTTTCTGCATGGCACTTCTAATGCTTTTCAGAAGAAAGTGCTGAGCTGTGAGGAGAGGGGCGGACTGCGAGGGAGCCAGGAGCCAGCCGCACTCCGTGTGTGTGGTCTGTCACCTCGGGGCCTGCTTCTTATCTGACACAGCAGCCATCAGAGTCAAGCAGGTCGTGCTTTTAAGATGCTCCGATACCACTGGGTTAAGGGGCAGGTTGGCGGGGGGTGGCTTTGGGCGGTGTGGATGGGGGAATGGGAGGCAGTTCTGGGTCCCTGACAAGGTGGCCCAGCTGCCAGCCTTTCCCTGTGTGGACACACTGGTAGGTGTTCTCCAAGGGGATGCAGGGATTCCAGGAGGAGGGAGTTTCCCCGCAGACATGCTCCTGGCCTTTCACATGCCCAAGGCGGGGCTTGTCTAATTATTAACTTGGGAAGAACGGCCAGCTCAGCCAGCAGCTTTGTTCCACCAGGGGGCTGGCCGCCCTCCCAGCTGGGCCTTGGTGGGCCTGTCTGCTTGATTCTGGGCTTCAGTGTACATCAGCTGACGGCAGACCATGGTGGTGGTTTGGTCTCTGTTCTTATTCTTTGAGTTTTGATCCTGCTCAGATCCAGGGTGGGGAGGAGGGGACGCTTCCTGCACAGCTCTCGGGGGACTTCTGAGGGTGCCACCCCCGTAACTGAGGGGCTGCTTGTTCTGTTCGGGCCTGTGCCGGGGTCACTGCTTAGACACTGTTGCCCAGAGTCCTGTTTGCTCTCCCAGGGGTCCGTTCTTCCCAAGAACTCAAATTCCTTTCTCACTGGAGCCCAGCAAAACCCAGGGACAGGGGCCTGCTGGCCTCAGAAGGCAGGCAGTTTAAAGTAAGACGTTCTCAGGATTTCTGGAACGTCTTTCCCTGTTCGTATGTAGTTTATTATTTAGTAGTCGCAGTACACTCCTTATTTTCTTCACTGTTCAGTGTCATGCAGTGTGTTTCACACTGTGCTCTATGGAGACTGGCAGACTCTTCTGTAGAGGGCCGCGTAGTGGCCATTTGAAGCTCCCTGGACCACCGTCTTGGTCCCAGCGATTCTGCGGAGCAGCCGTCGGCGGCATGGCAGCCACTGCAAGGCTGGCTCCGGGAAGCTGTCCAGCGACAGGTGCGGGCACCGCAAGGCTGGCTCCGGGAAGCTGTCCAACGACAGGTGCGGGCTGTAGTCTCCTGACCCCTGTGCTGTGCTGGAATTTCTTCTATTCCCTATTAGTGGACCTAAATATGTTAATTTCTTTACCCCTTTCAAGATGGCCACCCCCTTGAACATTAAAAACCTTGCAGACCCTCCGTGGTCACAGTGCTTTCGTTGTCCAGTGATTAGAACAAATGCACAGTGGGTGGGTGCGGTGCTCACACCTGTCATCACTTTAGGGGAGGCTGAGGTGGGAGGATCTCTTGAGCCCAGGAGTTCAAGATCAGCTTGGGTGACATAATGAGCACCCTGCCCCCATTCCTACAAAACAATTGAAAAAATCAGCTGTGTGGGGCGGCCAGTGCCTGTGCCTGTAGCTGAGCTACTTGGAAGGGTGAGACAGGAGGATGGCTTGAGCCCAGGAATTTGAGGTTGCAGTGAGCCAGGATCACACCACTGCACTCCGGCCTGGATAACAACTGAGTGAGACCCTATCTCGAAAAACAATAAGAAAAATTAAAAAATATGCAGGGACAGAAAGCAACTACCCAGAAATATTTACAACTGAGTAACACTTCATCAGGCACAGCAGATCTCCATTTATTTGAAGAATAGACGTATAAGACCATCTGTTTGTAGACAGTGCTTGTTACATGAAATCACGGACCCCTTGCAAGAAACCTGCGGTCCCTTGTGGTGGGTCAGTCTGTGGCCCACAGGGTGAAGCCACTGTTCACAGTCCATACACTTCCTTGTTGGCTATTTTGTTTTGGACTCAGACTCCAGTGGCAGGCTGTTCTTGTAAAATCATTCTGAGGGCAGCAAACCCATCTGTCCCCACATAGAGACAGCTTGCAGTGCTGTTCAACCAAAGGCACTGTTTCCTTCCTTACTCTCTAAGCACCACGGACTCCCCCTCACCCCTTCCTAGGTTTTCTCTTTACTTGTGCTTAGGGTGTGCCTGAGGCTCCTAAGACTCTGCCGCTGTTGGGGTCTGAGTTTGGGTGGTAAACCTCCACCTGCTGACTTGGCCCGAGGGACAGAAACCTAGAAGTTAAGGCGATTGGAGGCATTCCTCTATCCTCTTTCCAGCGCAGAAGGAAGACGCCCTCTATGTGGGCGTTAAGTCTGGAGGCTGGCAGTGAGGTTGGAGGAAATGGTCTGTAATTCTGTGAAAATGGCTTTCTCACTGAAGCACCTGGCATGCCCCTTGAGGGCCCTAGGGGTCTAGCAGAGGCTGTGGATTCTCGCTCCTCCTTGGTGATGCCTGCTGTGTCCCTTATGATAGGTAAATGCTTAAATGCTGAGCGGCAGGTTTTGTCCTGAGGGGCAACGTGTAACAGAACCCATGTTGGCTTGTGGGCTGATACGTGAACAGAGCCTCATCAGGGACACCACCTGTGGAATCCCTTGGAAAACTGCTTTCTCCCACAGTCTGGAAAATCACATGGGAACTAAAGGGAACACAATAGAGGAAGGAAGGAGCAGGTAGAATGTGCCTCTCCAGCCCGGCCAGTGTATCCATACATCAGCGCCCCCCACAATAGGACAGTGACCCCCCCACACACCAGTGTCCCACTCAAAACACACCAGTGCCCCCCCCACATACCAGGATCCCCACACAACACGCCAGTGTCCTCACATAACATGCTGGTGTCCCCACACACACCAGTGTCCCCACACACAACATGCCAGTGCCCCCACACACATGGCAGCATCCCCACACACAACATGCCAGTGTCCCCCCATACACACCAGTGTCCCCACACACACCAGTGTCCCCACAAACATGCCAGTGTCCCCCCACATGCCAGTGTTCCCACACACAACATGCCATTGTCCCTCCACACACATGCCAGTGTTCCCACACACACCAGTGTCCCCACACAACATTCCAGTGTCCCCACACAACATTCCAGTGTCCCCACACAACATTCTAGTGTCCCTACACACCAGTGTTCCTACACATGCTAGTTCCCCTGAACATGCCAGTGGCTCCCAGACATGCTAGAGTCCCACCGACAACACACCAGTGCCCGCCCCTGCCAACAGCTATTCCTGTCCTGTGCTCAGCCCTCTCACCTTCCAGAGGGCATTCCTCCATCTTTATTGTCCTGTTGTAACCTTTCACTATTTTCTTGTTTTAATATCCTTTTATTCCATGTAGTTTTAACATTAGGCTATAAAACAAAAAACAAAAAACAAAAAAACAACTCCCCAGTTGGGCGTAGTGGCTCACTCCTGTAATCCCAGCACTTTGAGAGGCTGGGGCGGGCAGGAGTTTGAGACCAGCCTGGCCAACGTGGTGAAACCCTGTTGGCGGCAGGTGCCTGTAATCCCAGCTAGTCGGGAGGCTGAGGCAGGAGAATTGCTTGAATCTGGGAGGCAGAGGTTGCAGTGAGCTGAGATTGTGCCACTGCACTTTATTCTGAGTGACAGAGTGAGACTCCGCCTCAAACCAACCAAACTAATCAAAACCCTCCCTAAAATATAACTTACTTAATAAAAATGTAAAGTTACCACTCTACACCTTGACAGCTGTAATCAACAAGGCAGATAGTAGCAGGTGCTGTTACTACCCAAGGCGGGAGGATCACTTGAGGCCTGAAGTTTGAGACCAGCCTGGGCAACATAGTGAGACCTCCGTCTCTACAAAAAAAAAAAAAAAAGCCGGGCATGGTGCTGCATGCCTATAGTCCTAGCTATGTACTCTGGAGGCTGAGGCAGGAGGATCGAATGGGTTCAGGAGTTCAAGGCTGCGGTGAGCTATGATCGCACAGCTGCACTCCAGCCTGGATGACAAATCTGTAGACTCCTAATTGAGGCAAAGGAGTCAGGCTGGTGGGACTGAGGGAGATGTAGGTAAGTTATCGGCTTGCCTTTCTTCATGGTCCAGGACACATAGCCCTTTTGCGCAGATAACATACATTACCCACAATCCTCCTGCACCCAATTTCACATCAAACACTTGAGTTTATCGTCAGACGCCTTGGCTGAAACATGCCAGCGAGCTTCTCGCGGCCCTGGTGTTATCAGTCTTGTGCGTAGCCCTGTGCAGCCGAAACCATCCTGTAAAATCTCCACGAGCCTCTGTCTCTGGCAGTTTGCTCCCCTTCTGCTGATCCGCCCGTTGCCTCCTCAAGACCTCTTTTCATTCTTCCTCACATATATCTGCCTTTCTTTACCTACGGCTGTCGTGGTAAATTCTTCACCCCCGTGTGCCACCGGCCCAAATGGTTGTCGCCCACCCACGACAACAGTGAGACCCTTTCTATAAAAAAAGAGGGGAGTGGGACTCACAGCCACTGTGCCCTCCTGGTGCCCGGTGCGATGTCCCTCTTTCTCATTTAATTGTCACAGTAGCTCTGTGAGGTGGGTATTCCATCTTTTCTGAGTTGAAGACACAGGGACATAGGTCAAATGACTTCTCCCACATACCTAGTGGGGATTAGAACCCAGGAGTGTCTGGTGTCTGGATCTCTGTCTCTGATGTATCAGTGCTACCTGCTCTTGTTTCCTCAGGCAGTCTAGGGTCCGGGATGGGACCCAAGACCTTCAAGCAGTTTGTTTTGTCTGGGTTTTGCTTTCTGGAAGGCCACATGACCACCTCACATTGCAGACTGTTCTGGAGGCATCGGGCAGCCCTACTCCCTGGCCCGGTGGCAGGGGCCAGTGTCTCTCACTACAGCCCCGCCTCGAATGGCCCCATTTCAGTTTTATGACAACCCCTTCTTGTCATACTGACAACTCGTATCTCATAAAGGGCATACCTGTTATTAGAAGGCCGAGAAGGGGGAGTGAGCCCAAAGCAGGCCTCTCCCTGTTTCTGTGGAATTTGTCCCGGGGGTGAGGCTCTTGTTACAGTTGAAAGCATTTTCTTGGTGCCACAGAAACTGCTCCAACCCTGAATACTCTTCCTAATGCCCAAATTCCGAAGATAGGGCCAAGACGAGGACCGCAGAGAGCGCACTCAGCAGTGATTCGGACAGTCAACAATTCCAGTTTTCACTGTGATAATCACAAAGGGAGACTAGACTGTTGACAGATGAAAGGGAGTTTAGGATGTCACGGAGGAAGCAGCTCAGGGCTAAGGGGAGTGTGTCTGCAACAGGCAGCACAGACCTCTGCTTCTCGTGTAGTGTCTGAGACCTGTGTCACCGGACGTCTTTGCCATCCAAGCCTCTGATGGTAAAGGCTATAGCAGTGGTTCGTGGCTTTGCTGTTCGCTGGACTCACATACAGAGCTTTAAACAATTCTAAGTCTGGGTTCCCACTGTGGGTGTCTGAAAGTTGGCCTGGAGTGTGCCAGGGCATTGGAGATTTAAAGCTCCCACATGACTGATGTTCACCAGAGTTCCCTTTCTGGACCTTTGGGATATGGGAGCAAGCTGCTTTACCTTTTCCCAGCTGGAACTTCCTGGTTTTCAGACGTTTGGGAGGCAAGCTGGAGAGTGTCAATTCTTTTTTTATTGGAGAGTCTCGCTCTGCTGCCCAGGCTGGAGTGCAGTGGCATGATCTTGGCTCACTGCAACCTCTGCCTCCCGGGTTCAAGTGATCCTCCTGCCTCAGCCTCCCAAGTAGCTGGGACTACAAGCACATGCTGCCACACCTGGCTAATTTTTTGTATTTTAGTAGAGATGGGGTTTCACCATGTTGCCCAGGCTGGCCTCGAACTCCTGAGCTCAGGCAATCTGCTGGCCTTGGCCTCCCAAAGTGCTAGAATTACAGGTGTGAGCCACTGCGCCTGGCCAAGAGTGTCACTTCTTTTTTTTTTTTCTGAGATGGAGTTTTGCTCTTCTTGCCCAGGCTGGAGTGCAATGGCGCGACCTCGGCTCACCTCAACCTTAGCCTCCCGGGTTCAAGCACTTCTCCTGCCTCAGCCTCCCTCCGGAGTAGCTGGGATTATAGGCATGTGCCACCATGCCTGGCTAATTTTGTATTTTTAGTAGAGCCAAGGTTTCTCCATGTTGGTCAGGCTGGTCTTGAACTCCTGACCTCAGGCGATCTGCCTGCCTCTGCCTCCCAAGTGCTGGGATTACAGGCGTGAGCCACAGAGCCCTGCCGAGAGTGTCACTTTTTTTTTTTTTTGAGACGGAGTTTCGCTCTTGTTACCCAGGCTGGAGTGCAGTGGCGCGATCTCCGCTCACCGCAACCG